ACATAGATATGCTTACCAAACATTTTGTTTAAAAAATATTAGCATTTAAATATTTTAAATTTACATAATGTAGAATCATAAGATAATAATAATAATTAGTATATTTTATATTATTAAAAAATATGGAAGTTCTAACATAATTATAAATTTTGTTCAAAGTATGATAGTTTTGAACATAGAGATTGGATTGACATCTTTTTCATAGCATCAATGGTGGAATGGTATTAGATAACTATAATTGTTTCACTTGAATGATTCTTTCTTCTCAATAATTAATGTGATTTATTGAAGTTGTACAAACTTTTTGCTTTGATAATATCTTATGTTGTTTCTATAAGTCATTAAAATATGGACTTGGAAACAATCTTATGATATATAACACAGACAAACGTTTTAAGATTTTTTTTCTTGTTGTTTGAATAAAAGATACCTTTTCCTATATATTTTTGCAAGGTGTGAACATGAATCCGGCAATTAAATTGCTTTATCATGTCAGGTTTTTGAGAAAAATGAGATTAAATATGACAAAATTGACGTTTTTTGATATATTTGTGATTTTTTTGCTAGCAAATAACATTTTTTTACTTTCGTTTATGACATGTTAAAATACTAACTTTTATCTTTAAAATAGATCTTTTTTAAGGCTGTACGTTTTTTCTTGTCGAGTTGTATAGTTAAGTAGCCAAGAACATTTTGTGCCACAAATGTTTTTAAAGAAAAAGTCTTAAAAACTGTGTGATGATTTTAATAGCAAGATTTTTGAGGTCACTAAATTCAAATCTGAAGTTAAATTTTTCAAAATTCAAAATGGTAGAACAAATATGACTAAAAATTTATCATTGGCAAAAATTTGCCATTTGCACTAATTTAAATTTAAAAAAATATTGTTCATAATATTTATTAAATTTATTTATTATTACTATTTATAAATTGTTAAATTAATTTGTAAAAAAATTTCAAATTTAAATTAAGTAGAAAAATTAGTAGAAAAATTGTAAACAATTAAAAAAAATACACCTACTTGGCTAAAAAGGTCGGCATTGAACATTCAATAAGTAAATAATTATTTACTGGACAAAAAACATATAGCGTTAAAAATATCTATTAAAAACGAAAGTTGACACTTTAAGAAGATGTAAACAAAAATAAAAAAAATTAATTTTGTTAGCAAAAAATTGTAAATATGTCAATTTTGATATTTTTAATCTCACTTTTCTCAAAAACCTGACGTGAT